TGGTCTTGAATAAATACTTTTTGGATACGGCTGGGCCGCTGCTGCAGGGAGAAGGGGTGGGGAAAGGTGCCAACTGCACTTGTCCAACAGGCCTGGCAGGACAGTACCGTAGCACCTCTGGGACTCCCCAACCTGGGCAACAGGACGCCCCAGCATCTCACCTCCTCCCAAGCTTCCAGCTAAGATCCAGGCCCCCACTGAAGGGGCCAGCACCCAGGCCCCAGCTGGAGTCCCTGGCTAGAGCCACAGAGAGAAGGTGACAGGCAGAAAGGACGACCCCTGCTCCAAGCCTCGCTGCCCTCTCCTATCAGCAGAGGGCCTCTTGTGGGTTCAAGACCCTCCCGGGGCAGCGTGCCCCTTGCCAGCCTTCTCCCTCCTGGGAAAATGGCTGGCTGGTCCTGCTGGCCAAGTGGGTTGGGCCTCTGGGGTGAGGTGGGTTGAGCATTGGGCTCTTGGCTACATGGCTGTTGTAATTAGTTAATTAACTGGCTGGGTTTGCAGAGAGCTTTGGAGTGGAAAATGCCAAAGCCCCTGTGGCCCTGGCGCTTTATCCATTATTTCGATCTAGATTCACAAATGCTTCCCGAGCAGGGGCGGAGGGAGAGGGGAGGGGACTCACTCTGAAGGGGTGGGCAGAGTTGGGCCATGAATGCCTGACCATCTCTCCCTACGCCCCCCCCCAGGCTGTGCTGTGTTTCCAGGCCTCTGGCAGCTGCAGCCCCACTGGGACAGACGTGGCTGGCAGCAATGAGAGGCGAAAATCAAACAGACTCATCCAGGGCCATGCAGCATCTCTTTGACTCCGGCTCCCCAGAGCGGCCGGGCTCCGGCTCCTCTCCCCTTCCCCAGCCTTGGGCTGAGGGGCGACCCTGTCCTGGGGAGGAGGAAATGCCTTCAAAACCCTGCTCCAGGAGGCAACTCCCAGGCTGGGCTCCCCCTTATTCCACCCAGAGCCAGGACTGTCCTGGGAGCAGAGGGTGTGGAACACCGCAGCCCTGATTGTATTTATTCCCCTCCCGTAGGTACCAGGGCTGCGCTGTTACCCCATAGCAGAGACGGGAACTGAGGCCCAGAAAGGCTGAGTGCCTGTGGCAGAGCAGGGATTGGACCTGGGTATCTGATGCCCGGGCGCTGGGCTCTCTGTCCCTCCAGGGTCCTCCTAGCCCAGCGCTTAGATGGGTCCCACTGGCCACAGCACTGACGCTGCACCACTAGGCAATCAACTGCTCCACAGGGAGACCCGAGTCTACAGCAGAGCCAAAACCGAGCCCAGCTACCAGGCTGTCCCTTCACGCTCACAGGCAGCAAACCCCTCGCCCCACTCAGGCTGGGGAACCCCAGGAACCCTGGTTCCAAACCAGGCCATCTCTCGGTGGCCTGTGGCTGGCAGCTGGTCTGACCGGTGCAGGCTGCAATGAGTCAAGGGAGAGACTGGCACAGCCGGAGCCTACTTACCACCCGCTGGAGACAGGCCGAGATGCAACATCCGGGCAGATGTGCAGGCATCACCCCAAGCCCAGCTGATGAGCAGACACAGGTGCTGAGGCGGCCACTCACCCTGCCAAAGTCACCACGGCTCGCCAGTGTCCTGGGCAAGGGGGGAGGGGGGGCAGTCCCCAAGCACCTGCAAGGTCCAGGCATGGCAGCCTCGTCCCTCTGCCCAGCTGGGAATGGGAGGGGGCCTAGGAGCCTGAGCAGCCTTCACAAGCCCTTGAGCTGGCCTCCTGGAGGCAACTAGCCCGCTTCCCAAAGAGGCAGACCCCAGGAGATGGAGTTAGGCCGGAACCAAACTCTCCAGGCCCATCAGCCCAAAGCAACAGCCTCAGCCGAGCTCTGGCAACTGGGCACAGATCGAGCAGGAAATGCCCTGCCTCTCAACGCCTGTAGCAGGTGCTGCCCGCCCCCATCTCTGCCACCTGGTTAACGCACTGGCCTTGCCACAGCCCTGCTGTTCCACACCAACCACCAACCCCCCGTCCTTGGGCTGGGGGCAGACGACACGCTGACCGCGCCCCTGCCCGTTCATTCCGTGATGTGTCCACGCACGGCCGGGGGGAAGCAGCTGGGACACCGTCACAGGAGGAATGGGGCACAGGGGGCAGCCAGGCCCACGCAGAGTCCCGCAGAGCAGCAGCAGCCAGTGGGCCTGGGAGGCAGCCGTAGTGGATCCACGGGGCAGCGGGCCCAGGGAATGTGCAACAATGACACCAGGCCCAGGCCCTGGCTCCGGCTTCGGTTCAGGGAACCCATCTAGCTACTTTTTGCGGCTCCGGGTGTGCAGACAGGGCTGTGGCTCCCAGCCTGGGAGGTAGGTGAGTCAGGCTCCACCTCCCCCACTTCAGAGACAGGCTGGGAAAGTTGGGAAAGGGGCAGTGAGTCACCCAAGGCTGCACAGGGCCTCGCAGACAGGAACTGAACCCAGGAGTCCTGGCTCCAGTCAAACACGGCCAGAGCCACCGGTGCCCCCTGCCCTGGGGACATCACCCCCTCTCTGGACCAGCCTGCACCTGGGGTCATGGGGGGACGATTCCCCCCCCACATCCCAAAGCCCAGGGCCACAAGGTTCCCCGCTGCTCCCCTCTGCCCCATGGGGACGGATCTGAGAGTGATATTGTGGGGAGGGAGGGGGCTGGGATGGCAATATCTGGGAGCACCCAGGGAGGGCTGTTATGGGTGGCAGTGATTTTGGGGGGTAGGCAAGGACTGGGGGAATATCTGGGAATGTCAGGAGATGGAAGTACAGGGGGTATAAGTGGGGGAGCATCGGGGTGGTAATGCCCTGGGAGAGCAACTGCAGACGGTGGTGCTGGGGGTGACAGCGGGGGGGGGTTGCTGAGTGTGTGTGAGATACCCTGGGTGTTTGTGGGCAATGTTGGGTGCTGGAGGAGTGACGGGGGCTGGGTTTTGTGACAGGGGGCTGTGGGGGGATTGTTGGAGGGCCGTTATACTATGATACTGAGTGGGACTGGGGGGGTATTGAGGGCTGTTGGGGTGTGCCGAGGGGTGTCACTGTAGGGGTTTATTGGGGGTGACATGCGGGGTGTTCGGAGGGGCTGGAGCTTTGGTGTCATACCAAAGGGGCTGTGGGGTGACATGGGGGACTGGGGGGTGACACAGGGAGCTGTGGGGGTCCAAGGGGTGACATGGGGGCTGTGGGGCAGTTGGAGGGGCGAGGGGTGACATAGGGGCTGTGGAGGAATTGGGGGGACGTGGATGCTGCACAGGGATACTGGGGGGTGCTGGAGGGGCTGTGGGGTGACTTGGGGGCTGTGGGGGAGTTGGGGTGCCCCGGGCGCTGGGCTGGGGGCCGAGGGGGGTTGGGGGGCCCCGGGCTCTGCGCTGGGGGGCCGAGGGGGCTGGGGGGCCCGGGCGCTGCGCTGGGGGGGCCGAGGGGGGCTGGGGGGCCCCGGGCGCTGCGCTGGGGCCGGGGGGTTGGGGGCCCCAGGCGCTGCGCTGGGGGCCGAGGGGGCCCCGGGCGCTGCGCTGGGGGGCCGAGGGGGTCTGGGGTGGTTGGGGGGCCCCGGGCGCTGCGCTGGGGGCCGAAGGGGGCCGAGGGGGGCTTGGGGGCCCCGGGGGCTGCGCTGGGGGGTTGGGGGGCCCCGGGGGCTGCGCTGGGGGGGTTGGGGGGGCCGAGGGGCTTGGGGGCCCCCGGGCGCTGCGCTGGGGGGGCCGAAGGGGGCCGAGGGGGGCTTGGGGGCCCCCGGGGGCTGCGCTGGGGGGTTGGGGGGCCAAGGGGGTGGGGCCGACGGGCCCCGGGGTGTCGGGCCCGGGGAGGTGCCGGGGGGCGGGTCCCGGCGGGGCCCCGGCCCCAGTCTCGGTCCCCGCCGGCCGCAGCCCGGGATGGAGCCGCCGCCGCTGCCGCTGCTCTCGGGGGCCTGCGTCGCCTGCACCCTCGGCATGTTCGCCACGGGCCTGTGAGTGCGGCCGAGCCGCTTCCGGGTCCGGGTCCGGGTCCGGGCGGCGGCTGGGCTGGGGGGCTGCGGGGGGAGCGTGGGGCCGGGCTGGGGGGCTGTGGGTTACGGGGGGGCAGCGAGGGGCCGGGCTGGGGGCTGCGGGGGGAGCGAGGGGCCGGGCTGGGGGGCTGTGGGTTACGGGGGGCAGCGAGGGGCTGGGCTGGGGGCTGTGGGTTACGGGGGGAGCGAGGGGCCGGGCTGGGGGGCTGTGGGTTACGGGGGGGGCAGCGAGGGGCCGGGCTGGGGGGCTGTGGGTTACGGGGGGCAGCGAGGGGCCGGGCTGGGGGGCTGTGGGTTACGGGGGGAGCGAGGGGCTGGGTTGGGGGGCTGTGGATTACTGGGAGGGACTAGGGGCTGGGCTGGGGGGGCTATGGGTTACAGGGGGTTGGGGGACTATGTGTCACGGGGGGGACTAGGGGCTGGGTTGGGGGGCTGTGGGTTACTGGGCGTTGAGGGTGTCTGTGGGTTGCTGTGGGACTGGGCTGGGAAGAGCTATGGGTTACTGGTGTTGTGGGGTGCTGGGGGTTGGGGTGCTGGGGGTTACTAGGGGGCTGCGCTGGGAAGAGCTATGGGTTACCAGAGGCTGGGGGTTGCTGGGGGCTGGGCTGGGGTGCTAGGGATTACTAGGGACTGGGTGGGCCTGGGCATCGCTGTGGGTTGGCAGCTCTATGGACACAGGAACTTACCCCTGGGGGCTCCCCTCCTTTTCCAGTGGCTACCCTGCCCCCAGCCCTGTGGGGTGGGCCGTGACTCGCATGGGCAGCTCCTGGCATGGCTGGGCCTCTACAGTTTGGCCAACTCCGAGCTGTCCTCAGTCACGAGGATTTTTAAAAGAGCGACGTCCTCGGGACCGTCAGGGCTGGGGGGAGGCGGGTTCCGTTTGCCAGCATTTCTCTGCCGTCGTGAGGGCTGGGAATTTGCGCCTTGCCGGCGCTGGGAAGTTACCCGGTTTATCCATCCCACTGCAGCTGGTTCACGCAGCCTGAGTGCGGACGCAGCGGGTGGAGGCGCTGCCAGCGCGGGACGTGTCCCGTCAGGGGCGGGGTGAGCTGGCTGGGGAGGGGGGCCCCGTCACCGGGGGACTGGCCCGTCCCTGGGGGTGCACCAGTCAGTATAAAATCCCAACGCAGCTGGGCGCTGCCCCTGTTCAACACCGAGTCCAGAGCAGGCCCTACCCGCCATGTAACCACCTGACACCAAGGCTGAAAAATGGCAAACGGCACCACTGCTTCTGGGTGTCACCCTTGTCACAGCCACTGCGGCAATGCCCTCTCAGACTCGGGGGGGGCTTGGGCCGGGATGGGGGGTTAGGTCCCCTCAGACTTGGGGGGGATGGGAGGCATTTCTCCCCTGTCTTATCCCTAGGACTGACCTGCGCCAGATGTTTCGCACAAGGAGTGTGGAGAATATCCAGTTCCTGCCCTTCCTTACCACCGATGTAAAGTATGTCCAGCCCCTGCTGACATGAGGGGGACAGAGGGGCGCAGGCCGGAGGGTCATGTGGCTGTTGGAGTTGGGGCTCAAGTGGAGGGGTGTCACGGAGTCCCTGGGCAATGCTCTGGAACTGCTCCCCATGAAGCCAGTCAGGACTCTGGGGCAGTCACCTTTCTGTGAGCAGCCTGTCTTCAGGACACACAGCTCACACAGCTTCCACCTCCCTGGGTCTGACCTCGGAGCATTCAGCATCCTCTGCCCCTCCGTGCGCTTCCCACAGCGAGTCCACTCAGGTGGGGCTCCTGGGGAAGCCAGAGGGTCCTGCCCCCCAACTCCGCAGTCAGACGTGACTCTCAGCCAGCCAGTAACACAGAGGGTTTATTAGACGACAGGAACATGGTCTAACACAGAGTTTGCAGGTGCAGAGAACAGGACCCCTCAGCTGGGTCCATTTTGGGGGGGCAGTGAGCCAGACAACCCCGTCTGCACTTCACTCCATGTCCCCAGCCAGCCCCAAAACTGAAACTCTCTCCAGCCCCTCCTCCTCTGGGCTTTGTCCCTTTCCCGGGCCAGGAGGTCACGGGATTCCTGTGTTCTCCAACCCTTTAGCTCTCACCTTGCAGGGGGAAGGGCCCAGGCCATCAGTGGCCAGGAAAGAGGGTGTCGGCCATTCTCTGTGTCCAGACCCCTGCACACCCCTGCCCTCTAGGGCTCTGCAATGATCATACACCCTTATCCCACCCCCTAGATACCTAAGAACTGCCTAGGGGAAACTGAGGCACCCCCACACTATTCGGAGGAAACATTAAGAACAGTCCCACTTCGTCACAAGGGGGGCTTGGACAACAGCTGGGCAGGGCGCACGCTCCAGCGGCTTGTACAGTGGTGGGGAGCATGTGCTCCGGGAGGTTCACGTACAGGGACGTGCTCCAGTGCTGGAGGGCTCCCCAGCCCAGAGGCAGCAGTACTGGTGACTACCCAGCCTGGTCTCCCCTTGCAGTAACCTGAGCTGGCTGAGCTACGGGTGCTTGAAGCAGGACTGGACACTGATCACCGTGAACGCCATCGGGGCGGCGCTGCAGACCCTGTATATCCTGGTGTACCTCTATTTCAGCCCCGAGAAGGTGGGTGGAGAGCAAGTCCCTCCCGCCTGCCAGGCTCCAGGGGGAGGGGAGAGCTGCCCTGTTCGGAGGGATTCCTGTGAAGGGGCGGAGTTGGCATGAGGAGGGAGGTGCCTGGGGCGGGGTCCGGCAGTGGCATTTCTTGGGAAGGGGTTTCCTGTGCCATCGTGGTATCGGCCATGACTGCCCTCTTCCCGTCCCCCAGCGCCGGGTTCTGCTGCAGAGCGTGGCCCTGCTGGGGGTGCTGACCCTCGGCTTCTGCTACTTCAACCTCCTGACCCCAGACGTGGACGTGCGCCTGGCACACCTGGGGCTCTTCTGCAGTGTCTTCACCATCAGCATGTACCTCTCGCCCCTGGCTGTCTTGGTGCGTGTGGCTCCCTCGCGGGAAGCATGCGGAGGGGAACCTGCCTAACTGGGGCGCTGGCCTGGGGCATGGGCCATGTCACTGGCCTCTGGGGGGCGTTCTGCTGGTTTGGGGCAGAGCAGTGCATGCTGGGGCCTTTGGGTTCCTGCAGGTGAGGTGCCCAGTCCCTCAGCTTGGAGGCCTTGGGGTTGGGAGCCCAAAGGAGACCCCAGTGGGCCGTTCAGCTCTGGTTCTTCCTTGGCCCCACGGGCTCGCAGGAGACAGCTGTCACTCTGGGAGGGGCCCTGGCTGGGATCTGCAGGAAGCTCCCCTCAGTGCCCTGAACTTAGCCCCTTCTGTGTTCCCTGCAGGCCAAGGTCATCCGGACCAGGTCAACCCGGTGCCTGTCCTTCCCACTGACTGTGGCCACCTTCCTGGCCTCGGCCAGCTGGACGCTCTATGGCCTCCAGCTCAATGACCTCTACATCATGGTGAGTGCCATTTGGCGGAGGGCTAGGGCCCCTCCCTTCCGCTCACTGCCACATGGGGAGGCTGCCCTGGGAATCGTGGGGTGCAGGCCCAGACCCCCGGCGGCGCGGTGCGCTGTTCCCGAGCCATCCCGTGGAGCCCCCTGTGCTGCCTTGTGACCCGCGCTCAGGGCGATGGGTCCTGATTTTAATTAATTGGCTGGCAGACAGCCAATACAGTGTCCCCATGACACGTGGCTGATGGAGCAGTTTGTGAGGGGAGGGCATGGGAACAGTGAAACTGCTGCAGGATTTATGGCTCTCCTGTCTCTGTGCCCCCTCGTTCCCTTCCCACTCAGGTCCCTAACGTCCCCGGGATAGTCACCAGCATCCTGCGGCTCTGGTTATTCTGGCAGTTCCCTCCGGACCAGGACAAGCTCTACAAGCCCCTGCAGGCCTGAGGCCTGGGACCTGCCATCTCCGCCGTCCTGGGGCAGGAAGAAGCATCACTGAGCCCTTGTGGTGGGGAGCCAGCGGCAGGTGCAGACCCAGCTCCTCAGCCCGTGGGTCGAATGATTTCCCTCCCCCCAGTACCTTCACTGACCGATGAAGGGAGGAGCCAATGCTCACACTGTGATTCTACTGCCCTTGCCCCTGCCCTGGTGGCGGCCCCTGCCAGCCGCCCCTTAGGCCTGCCTTAGCCAAAGAGCCTTGCACGGCACTACACGGGTACTGCCCCCTGCCTGGGGCTCTGCTGCTCCTGGGGGGCTCTGAGGAGTCATGGCTGCCTTGCCGCAAGGGATGCCCCCACACCTCCAGCCATTTTCATTTTTCTTTGGTTTGCTCTATTGGGAATAGTGCCTTTGACACTTCAGCAGTGCCCCTGCACCAACCCCCATGCACCTGGCCAGCTCTGGGGACTCTCTTCCTCCCTGCTGTGCTCAACCATTCTAGGGGGGCTGTGGTGGGAGCCAAGTGCGGTGCTGGGGGGCTGCCCTCTTCTCTGTTGGATGCCTTGGTTTGTAGTGCTGTTTTGTATGAGCATAAGTGCCTTTTAATAAATCAAAGCCAGAGCATGGTGCCTGTTTCCTCAGCTCAGGGCACCCCCAGGCACAGAGAGCAGGCCGGGGCTGTGGAGGGCCTGCACCCCCTGGTGCCCCAGAACTTGGTGGGTACATGTGAGGATACACCCAACAGCCCAGGTGCACTCAACCCCCCCAGCTCTGGTGGCGTTACTGGGAACTGGGGGCCCTTCCCAGATCGGTTTGAGGCAGAGGAGAAAGAGCAAGAGAGGGGCTACCCTAGGGCCTGATCCTGCAGGTTCCCCTACCCCCAAGTCAATGGGTGCCCTGTCCCAGGAAGAGTCACACAGGCCATCATGTGCAAACACGTGGACAGCACCTGAGAAACAGCCTGCTCCCACTGGGGGCTGAAGGGACAGCCACATTTGGATCAACCTGCTCCAAAGAGCAGCTCTCCCTCCCCTCAGCCCAATGGGGGTGGGGCTGTTCTGATCCTGGCTGTGTCCCCAGGGAGCTGAGAGGATGGGGCGGCTTCTGGCAGAGCTGACCTCCTGTTACCTCGTAACATGCAAGATGTGCAGGATCATCCTGGTGAGGGCAGCTCTTCTCTGCCCTGGGCTGGGGCTCGACAGGGTGGCCTGCTACTGGGAGTCTCTAGTGGGCTCCATCAAGCCCCCTCCCTCAGTATCCACCCTGCAGGGCCCCAGCCAGGGCCATGCTGGGAGCTGGGGAGCGTCCCTCAGCTGAGCCAGCTGCCCAAGGCCATGGCTGGGCGCTGCCGGGCCATGACTGGCCACGCATGTGCATGGACGAGACTGCAACTAACTGGCTGTCCTGCCTTCCTTGCTGCCACTGTTGCTCAGGAAGCAGCTAATTAGTCGCTCCTGCTAATTAGCCCCATTCCTGCCTTTGATATCAACTGCTCCTTTTGCAGAAGGACGCGCAGCCAATAATTAAGAACACGAAAGTCCTTTGGCTGGTATGCAAGGAACCCAGGGAGTCTGCCAGGGAGGCAGGCCCCAACATGTGTCACTCAGGCAGCAGCCCGGCCCTTCTGGCTGCAGGGAGCCCCATGGGCCCTGTAGCAGGGCCTGTGCTAGCCAGGGAGACAGCCCATGGATGGGGCTGTTTGGTTGCTCAGGAGAAAGGGATTCCCTGAAGGAAGCAGCCTCCGCATTCACCTTCTGGAGCGCAGGGGGCTGTACAAAACCCTGCTGAACTTGCTCATCATCTTCAACCAGCGTGTGAAAGTCACTGTGCCATGGAAGCAAGGTTCTCGCTAGCACGGCCTGGCCCAGGCCACCCTGGAAATGACAACTCTTCCCACGTCCCTGGGCCAGCAGCGTCACCCACCACCTAGACAGCATGCTGGAGCCTGAGCTGGGGGGCTGCAGCCTTGGCATGCGGTCTGGTTGATAGCCCCCCACTGCCCTGATTTAATGCCCACTGGCTGCTGAGAGCCAAGGAGGGGCCCTGGGGAGAGGGGAAGGTAGAGGAGTCAGAGTCAAGACTCGATCTCTGCAGCTTCCCACTACGAGTTACCAGGGGAGTCGGTGGGTGGGGTGTAGGCAGCTTGGGCTCAGATAGCTGCCTGGGGGTGGCTAGCCCGAGCAGTGCCACGCTCAGGGGACTGAAGGAGACAGTACAGAATTATCCACCTCGCTTGCACCCTGCATCTGACACAGAGCAGCACAGTGTTCCCTGCTGCTGACTCAGAGGGAAGAGCAGCAGCCAGTGAGTCACCCCTGGCAACACATGAGTGATTCCTGGGACTCTCTCATCCAAACCCTGGCCCGGTTTGCTTGTGAGAGCAGCTAGGAACCGCACCAAGGGGGCCTGGCTGCAGGAGTGAAGGGAGTCACCTAGCAGCAAGCTGCTGCACTGACCACTTCTAGTTACCATCACCATCGAGTCCCCACCCGTCTCGTGCACTCAGTGCCACGTGTCACCTGCCCCTGTTCTCCTGAGGGGATGGACCAGCTCCCTGTCGCAGCAGGAACCCGCCCAGAGCCCACTCTGTGACCACCCTTCCCCAGGCTGTCAGCAAGGCTCAGCTACATACACTGATTCTTTATTGTGCTAATCCAAGTGAGGTGAGCGGCCCAGCTCCCTGAGGTGCAGCCTCCCTACCCCGCAGGTCAGAACTTCAGCCCTCGCCGGCTCAGGTCCGCTCGGGCCTCTCTGATCTGCTCCTGGAGCTCCTTCGCAGCAGCCTCGCAGTCATTGAATGTAGCCAGGCGGTAGCCAACAGTCGCCAGGGAGTAGCAGCCGAACGCCACCAGCAGGTACACGGGGAACGGCCAGAGCACCTGCTGGCAGGGCAGAGGGAGGTGGAGGCCCAGGGGGTCCAAGGCCAGGGTGGCCCAGGCAGTGCCCAGCAGGGCCAGTCCGCACAGCCACTGCACCAGCTTGGTCATGGTGCGCGTGGCTGGGTCTCGGCGCAGGACGGGCTACAAGAGAGGCGGGGAGAGCAGGTCAGCAATGGAGAGCGGGTCGCAGCTGAGATGCCGATACCCCCCCAGCCCTGATAACCCCCAGCCCTGCTGGGCCCCACTACACCCCCCCCAGCCCCGATACAGCCCCCCCCAGCCCCGCCGGGACCCGATACAGCCCTCCAGCCCCACTGGGCCCCACTACACCCCCTCAGGCCCCATTACACCCCCCCCCAGCCCCGATACAGCCCCCCAGCCCCGCTGGGACCCGATACAGCCCCCCAGCCCCGCCAGGCCCCACTACACCCCCGCCAGCCCCGATACAGCCCCCCCAGCCCCGCCGGGCCCCACTACACCCCCCAGCCCCGCCGGGACCCGATACAGCCCCCAGCCCCGCCGGGACCCACTACACCCCCCAGGCCCCATTACACCCCCCCCAGCCCCGATACAGCCCCCCAGCCCCGCTGGGGGACCCGATACAGCCCCCAGCCCCGCCAGGCCCCACTACACCCCCCGCCAGCCCCGATACAGCCCCCCAGCCCCGCCGGGCCCCACTACACACCCCCCAGCCCCGCCGGGACCCGATACAGCCCCCCAGCCCCGCCAGGCCCCACTACACCCCCCCCTACACCCCCGCAGCCCCGCCGGGACCCGATACAGCCCCCCAGCCCCACTGGGCCCCACCACACCCCCCAGCCCCGATACAGCCCCCCCAGTCCCGATAGAGCCCCCCCAGCCCCGCCGGGACCCGATACAGCCCCCCAGCCCCACTGGGCCCCACTACACCCCCCAGCCCCGCCGGGACCCGATACAGCCCCCAGCCCCGCCGGGCCCCACTACACCCCCCCAGCCCCGCCGGGCCCGATACAGCCCCCCCCCCCCCCCCCACTACACCCCCAGCCCCGCCGGGCCGATACAGCCCCCGCCCCGCCGCCCCCCCCCCCCCCCCCCCCCCCCCCCCCCCCCCCACCCCCAGCCCCACTGGGCCCCACTACCCCCCCCCAGCCCCGCCGGGACCCGATACAGCTCCCCCCCCAGCCCCTCACCGGCCTCCCCGCTCAGCAGCCAGTGGCCTCTCCCGTCGCGGAGCTGACGTCATTCTCAGGCGCCGTGGCCCGCAGGCGGCGTGCACGGCCCGCGGCCTTCTGGGAGTTGGAGTTCGGGAGCCTGGGCCGGCCTGAGCCACTAGGGACCGGGCGCTCCCCCCACCCGGGACAGGGCGCTCCCCTTGCCCCGCCCCCCACCCCAGCAGCCCCCCGCCCCAGGCCTTGAATGGGTACCGCTTGGGGGGGACCGAAAAGAGGAGGACAACAGGTGACATAAGGAACCTGGGGAGAAAGATGTCGCTGTCATGGAAACAGACTACAAGAGAATTACAGAACTGGTCTGAAATCAACAAGCTGAAATTCAGTAAAGACAAGTGCCAAGTACTTCACTTAGGAAGGGAAATTAAAATGCCCAGCTACAAAATGGGGACTAATTGGCTAGAAGGCAGGACTGCGCAAAGGATCTGGGGGTCAGTGGGGGTCACAAATGGAAGGTGAGTCAACAGTGTGAAGCAGTTGCAAAAAGGCTGCTTCTATTCTGGGCTGTATGAACCAGAGGTAATTGTCCTGCTCTCCTCAGCACTGCTAAGGTCTCAGCGGGAGAACTGCATCCAGTTCTGAGCACCACACATCAGGAAAGATGGGGACAAATTGGGGAGAGGCCTGTGGAGAGCAACAAACCTGACTGACGGTTAAAAAAAACCGGACCTAGGATGGAGGAAAGATTTAAAACGGGGCCTGGTCAGTCTTGGGAAAAGCCGACTGAGGAGCGGGACCTGAGAACAGCCAGCATCTCCGTTAAGCCAGGAGCGCTCAAACGGGGTCGTAACCCACAAGGTGGTTACACGGGGGTCACCAGCTGTCAGCTCTGTGGGGCTGACAGCCCCAAGCCCCCATTAAATTACCCCCCCATTTTGAATTTATAAGGGGGTCACACTCAAGAGTTTTGCTGCGTGAAAGGGGTCACCAATACAAAAAGTTTGAAAACCACTGTGTTAAGGGCTCTTATAAAGAGCTGGGAATGGGCGACAGGGGATGGATCACTTGATGATTCCCTGTTCTGTTCATTCCCTCTGGGGCACCTGGCAGTGGCCACTGTCGGAAGACACTGGGCTAGATGGACCATTGGTCTGACCCAGTAAGGCCGTTCTTATCAATTGTTCTCCACATCCACTGACGGTACAACAAGCAGTGATGGGCTTAATCCACAGCAAGGGAGATTTAGGTTAGCTAGGAAAAACTTCCTAACTCTCAGGGGAGTTAAGCTCTGGTACAGGTATCCAAGGGGGGTTGTGGAATCCCCATGACCGGGGGGATTTTAAGAACAGGTTGGACAAACCCCGTCAGGGATGGTCTAGGTTGACTTGGTCCTGCCTCAGCGCAGGGGCCTGGACTTGATGACTTTGTGAGGTCCCTTCCAGCCCCACATTTCTATGGGTCTATGAAAGGAGCAAGAAATGTGGAAACACTGGGTTGTGTCGTGTCACAAGGCACTGGACCACCTAATCTAATAATTCCCCCACCTCTGGAACTGGGTGCCCAGCCTTGCCCCCACAGGTGTCCCTCCCTACCCC